GCGAGTGTTGATGGCACATAGAGGAAGGGAACAGGAGACAAAACAGCACAACAGAAGATTTAAGGTTTAAATATATGGGCTATCCCTAAAATCCTGTTACTAAATTCAGGATGCTCACTACACCATAGGATTATAGAATGGTCTCAGAAGGAAAGGACATTAAAGATCATCTGTTCCCAACTCCCCAAAGGGATGCCCACCACTAGTTCAGAAATCAGTGGTAAAATTTTTAAACAATGTAAACAACTTCTTGCAATTTTAAAATAAACTGTCTGCTTTTCTCCTCTTTACCTACAGAGAACCAGCAGCGATTCTTTTACTTGAGCCCTGCAGAAATATTTACTGGTATTTCTGATTAAAGCATCGTGCAAAATTAATCGCGTTTAATATTTTAACATTGTGACTTTCAGACGAAAGTATTTGGAGTAGGGTATGGCCTGTCTAGAGACTTGGCAGTGAACACAGGTCTCAAATCTGATTCTGATTTCTCAGTGCTCCTGCAGCCGAGCCAATAAACAGTGATTTTACACGATTTCTAGCACACAACCCATCAGAAAGGGTCAGCAGTGTCCTTCCTGCTCCTTTGCTGAGGAGGTTTCCTTTAGGAAGGGAAATGGAGCCCGAAGGGGGGCCGGCACCTGGCTGTACCTGGATCCTGTAAGGACACAGCGAGTGCATGTGTGTACCCACGGGGTACCTGCCCTGCAAACACCAGCATTTCCTCCCTTCCCAGACCAAACGTATCCATCCTGGGAAATAAAAGGTTTATTTATCGAGTGCCATAATATCGATGCAAATGAAGCCCTGGTGCTTCACGGAGTTTTTTGGGTTTCACTGGGCTCCTTGTGAGCCCAGGCTGCACAATCCAGGGGGGATCACAGGGATGGACATCCACAGAATCAGTGGATGGGGTTGGAAGGGGCCTCTGGAGATCACCTGGAGCAGGTGACACGGGAAGGTGTCCCAAAGGTGAAACACCTTGTCCCACACAGGTGTGTTTGGGATGTCTCCAGAGGGAGACTCCACACCCTCCCAGGGCTATGCCACCCTCATGGAAAGTTCTTCCTCGTGCTGAGGTGGAACTTGTGTTGTAGTTTATGGGCGCTGTTCCTTGTCCTGTCCCTGGACAGAGCCTGGCACCACCCTCTTGGACACATTTACAGGGATTGCAGACTCCCTCCCTCCCTCTCTCCCCGCCAAATCTCAGGGATGGCTCTCCAGGAGCACTCCCGGGGTGATGCGGGCCGGGCCCCGCGGCCCGGGGGCGGTGCGGAGCTCGGGGCCGGCGGGGGCCGGGCCCTGTGGCCGCCCCGTCCCCTCCGGTGCCGGCGCTCCCGTGCGCGCCCCCCCGGCGGGCGGCGGGGGCGGGCGCCGTCCGGGCCGCGCTGATCGCAGCGCGCCATTGGCCGCTGTCTGCGCGCACGTCACGATCATGATGAGAATTAATGATCGGGGCCGCTGATTTCATTGTGTGACGCCGGGACCGACCCAGCCGAGCCCGGCCGAGCCCGGAGCCCCCGCGCCGGCCCCGCGCTACACGGTAAGCGCGGGGGAGCCCCCCCCTTCCGGGTGGGGGGGGCGAGGGGAGCGCGGCGGGGCCTCCGGGCGGGAGGGGCGCGGCGGAGGGGAGGAGGAGGAAGATGATGATGGTGATGATGATGGTGATGATGGTGGTGATGATGATGATGATGCCGGTGATGCCCCCCCCACGCCGGGCCCGGCTGTGGGGGTGGGGGGAGGCCCACGCGGGCTCGCGCGCGCGGACCCGCCCGGCGCGCGCAGGCGC